TCACCCGCTCGCCAAAACACTCACCTCTCTCCTCTGTCAAGTCGGGTCTTTAGAAGGATGCCTCTAAAAACAGCTTTTCATCTTTGCCAAGTCCTGAGTGACCTGCAAAGCATTTTTATGAGAATTTTACATGTGTGCAAATACCTGGCATCTCGCTAAGGCCTGTACAGCAAAGGACCAGGACAGGGCTCTGAACCAGGGGTTCTGCCTGCGCCTTGCGCAACCCCGACCAACCCCGAGCCTGATCCCATCCTGCCGCGCCCCCGCGCCGTCTCGGAGAACCACCTGATTTCGCCGAGCTGAGCCGCTGCTCGCTGGGAGAAGCGGCCATATGTCTGGCAGGCCCCAGGGACCTTCGGCAGCATTAGGGGGTTGATACGAGACAGATGGCCTTCTAGTGAGATGCGCCATTTTTCCCACCATACATGCGAGGAAAAGGAGCCATTCTAATAACGTCTCGATTTTTCCGCTGGTGTCAGAAGCCTCCATGACGCCCGTTTGCCTAGGCGCAGCCTCCTTGCTGTGGAGGGGCCTCCTGCGGCTGGAAGAAGCTGAGAGACTCGGGAAATTTGGAGGCCCCACCCCTGCTAAGATCTGAGAGTCTGCTGCCTTCGGGATGCAGGCATTGGGGGGGAGGCCGCTCCGTTCTGAAACTGCGCTGGCACTGCCAGCGCTTGGCAGGAGCGCGCTCAGGCCCGTCCTCTCTGGCTCACGCGCCAGCGCCACCACCCGACGGCGTCCATGCGGCTCTGGCTGCGTGGGCGGCGAGGTGTGAGGAGGCTGCACGGTCCATCTGTGCAGGAAAAGCCGGCTGCACGGCTGGACAGGGGCGCTCATTGCAGGGCTTGTCAGAGCCTCACAAGAGGAGGGCCCTTCAGGGGAGGCTTTCGGAGTTGACAGGGCTCCCCCGCCCCACGCGTCTCCCCATGCGAGGGCTCCGTGGAGCATGCTCTGGGAAGCCCGGTGCTGTGGTAGCTCGGGGGGCCTGGACGCCAGCGCCCGCTGTGTGGCCTTGGACGTGAGCCCCCCGCCCTTCGCCAGCACCTCCTGAGCGCACCTCAGAGGGGAGAAGGCCCTGTGGCCTCCTGGGCTGTTGGAGCACCCCGAGGCGCTCAGGGCCCGCTGGGGCCCAGTGCAGGGAGTGCGGCCGCTCCGCTCGGCAGGGGCGCGGTGGCGACTGAGGTCGTTCTTGACAGCCACGGATCTGCGCTTTGGTTTTGTGTCAGTTTTTGTATCTCAGGATCAGTCTCTCTCCTTCAGTCAGTCATTTCCTCCCTCCCTCCCTCCCTGGTGCCGTCATTCCATGGTCCAGGCGCCCTGAGCCAGGAGCAGGAGGGGGAGGAGGGGGCGGCGCCGCGCAGGTCCCGGTCCTCCGCCCCGGGGTGGCGGCAGCAGCGTTTCCGCCTGGGCCTTCATGGGCCACGGGTTCTGACAGTGTGGCTCCTGGAACTGCAGGAAAGAGCCCCCGGAGGTGCCGGGAAGGCCGCCCCCGCCCCAGGAGCCCCCTCCCTTCCATCAGGTCAGCCCTCCTTCCTGTCCGCCCCCCGCCCCCAGTTCCTTCCTCCGTGATGAGCGGTGTGGCTGTGGTCTCCCTCCCTCCCGGGCGACCCGCACCTGTTACTCAACTCCGACTCAATCCCGAGGCCTGACTGAAGTAGCCCACCCACAGCAGCCGCCTCCGGGTTTTCAGACCTGCGTCCTCTGCAGCTGTGACCCGTCTGGCTCTTCCTGGCGAGCCCTTAGCCTTGGTTCTCTGTGATCCGGGGGGTCACCAGAGCAGCACCCTCCACTCAGTTGCAGGCCTGAGCTCTGTCCTCAGGGGATGGTTGCTGGTGCCAGGTGGACTCCTGGGGGCAGGGACAGAATCACGTGAGAGGCAGAGGCCGTGCTCTGGGGTCCCACGGCCCGCCCTCTTGTTTGCCCCTTTCGTAGCTTGTGCTGCAGTTGGAAGTTACCACCTTGTTTCCGCGTCTGTTTTCTGCCTGCTCCGGAGCAGGTGAGCGCCGCACCGGTGCGACTCGGGGCGGCCTTCCGCCGGCACTTGATGGATGAGCTGTGACTGCACGAATGAGACGAGCAAAAACCGTGGTCCAACATGGTCAGATACAGGTGGCACCTGTCTCCCTCGGACGCCAGCCACTCAGCCTGTGGCTCCTGGCGCCTGACCGCGCGCCCCGGTGAGGCGGGGCTTTCCTTCCACCGTGTTCTAGGGCAGGGGGTCCTGGGGACGTGGAAGGGCCAGTGGACAGGAGGCAGGCAGAGATGCTGGCCATCCCTGGGGGTGGCCTTTGGGCCCAGCCCCTGTCTCCCACCCTGGCAGCCCTCCCTGCCAGGCTTGCCGGTTGGGCAGGCGTTTGCTGGAGCCCGCCCTGGGTGCCGGGTGTCAGGCGAGGTGCCGGGGACCCAGCGATGGGCAAGGCAGCCGTTGGTCTGTGCTCGCAGGAAAGCCGGGTGACAATAAACCGCACGCCCTGGGCCGACGCCTGGGAGTGGTGGCCAGCGCTAGGGTGGAGGGGGCGTTAGGACTCAGGGGCCAGCCCTGCACGGGGCTTGGAGATCACCCGTGAGCTCAGTGACCTCAGGGACGGCGTCGGTATCCTCACTGCTTTGTTCAAGGGTGCACCTGACCTGTGAGTTTGCAGGATCCATGGGGGGGTCGGGAGGGTCGGGTACTGGGGCACAAGTGCACCGTCGGCCCTGAGCCTGGGGGCGCTGGGAGGGGGCCAGGGCCTGGCGTCCAGCTCCGAGTGCATCACGTCCTCAGGCACCTGGGAGGCCCCGCCTGCCCGGCCGCGCCAGGGGCGCTGCCTCACCCACGAGGGGAAACGCTTTCCTTGATTAACTGCCAGCGTCTGGCAGGCAGCAGCGGCGTCAGTCAGAGGGCGGAGCGCCCTGAGAATGTGCCTGCACCTTGGCCCTCCCCAGGGTTGGGGGGCTCCTCAGCCGCTCCGGGGGGATCAGAGAGTCTCAGGCTGGGGAGGGAGGGAGGCTGGCGGGCACACCCCACCCGTCCTTCTCTGTGGACACACACGCTGGGGTGCATGCACGCCCACCTGTGTTACGTACATGTTCACACACAGGTGCACGCCCACATTGTAGGTACACACGTATGCACGTTCTCACACACTCACTCTCGAGGGCGTGGGGGCCACTCCATGCTCACCAGGACCATGCCCACCTCTTAGCCACTTGCCCCCCCCACACACAGTGGGTGACACACTCGCGCCCTCGAGGTATTTATAAGAAGCCCCTTCGCCGAACGGCACCGCCTCCCTCTGCAGTCTCTGTTCCTGAGTCACCGGGCACAGTGTTCAGAAGCCCTCGCTGGCCTGGGCCTGGGCTGCCTGGGGGAGGGCCTGGGGGGGCCATCTGTCCTCCTTCAGACTCTGAGGGCAGCTGTCCCCTGGACTTGGGGGTGTTCGCCGCCCCCCCCCCCCCCCCCCCCCCCCGTGAACGCAGGCCCCCGAGGGGTCCCTCACACGAAGCGTGCCGCACATTCAGCATGGGAAGCCATCAGCCCTTTTCCACCACAGCTCCCAGCTGAATTCTGGATCAGGTTCCAGCTCCTGCCTGCCTCCCAGCCACGCCCACGGTCCTCCCCTGGTGCGTTCTTCCTCCGAGCTCCTGACGTTCCCCCCCCCCCCCGCCCCATGACCTGGGCCAGGGTCTCAGCAACGCAGGTCACAAATAAGGTGGGGTTTGTGGTCCAATCTGCCCTTTATTCTGTGTGCTGCTCTTTTTCGCTTTGGCTGCCAGGCAGCTCAGCGCCTGTGGGCTCTCCTCTGGCACCCACACGAGTGAGGTCTGTGCCTTAGGACGCTGCAGCCGTGTCCGGACCGTTTCCCCAGATCTCGCCAGATGTTCATTTTGTCCTGTTGGGCGTGTGTGTTTCTTGGAACAGCTGCATCCTTCGTAGAGCTTTGCGAGGCGCAAGGCACTCCATGACAACCCTCTGCCGTCCCCCCCGCTCACTGTGGGCGGGGGGGGGGCGGGTCTTTGTCTTTATCTTCAGGTGAGCCCCGAGGCTTGGGGAGGCCGGGCCGGTCCCCTGCGGATGGTGCTCAGAATGCCCCCTGGACAGCCAGCTTTCCCGGGAACAGGCGGCCTTGGCCGCGCTGCTCCATCTGGTGTCCGTGGGCGCGGGAAGGAAAGGCGGGGATGTCGGGGAGTAAGCTGACTCGGGAGAGGAGGACCAGCTGCGTCCCGCATGCTGGGCGTGAAGCCGGGGCGACGGTGGCTGGGGGGGGTCCTGACCGGCCCCCGGGGGCTCCCTGGCTCGGTCGCCCCCTCGCCTGTATGTCGCAGGCCGCCGCTGCTGGGTGTGGGGCGGCGGCGTTACAGCGGAAGGCAAGCGAGGGTGAGCTGCCTCGGTGTCTCCCCGGCCGCTGAGCCTGCCAGGAGGGTTCTGAACTGCGACGCCCCGGCTCGGCCGGGACGAGAAAGCCTCCCCTCAGGGCGGCCGTCCCCGGGCGCACCCTTGGCGCCCAGTTTGCAGAGAGAGCGGGTACACCCCCTGGCTGGCCTGGGCTTGTGAGCCTTGTCTTGGTGTCTTCTCACCGCATTGTGCCCTGGGTGACAAATTCACGTGGTCGCCTTAGAAGCAGCTTAGAGACACCAGAGGGTCTGGAGTCAGGCTGCCTGAGGTCACCCCTTGCCTCAGCGAGCCACACTCTGTGACAGTCGACAGGACGAGCCCCTGCCCAGGGTGCGCGTCTGTAACGTGGGTGTAACGGTGGCGTGCGCCCCGAGAGTCACTGTGAGGGTGGGACAGTGTCCCGGGGGGCGTGGGTCACAGGTCCCGGGCCCCTGGGGTGGCAAGTGGCCGCCTTCGCCTGTGTGACCCTGCGGCACAGACCGGAGAGCCCGCAGGGGACTCGGTCCCCTCACGGCCCCAGCCCAGGCGGGGTTGGGGGTGACTTGGCATTTCTGCCTGAATCGCGGCCTCCGCTCTGGCCGTTGGACAGGCGCCGCCTGAGCCCGTCTCGGTTTTCGTCTTGCAGATGAGATGGACCCCGCCCCCACAGTGCGCGCGGAGCACCTGGTCTCAGGGACACGGACGCCCCCCGTGCGCAGGAACAGCAAGCTGGCCGCCCTGGGCAGGATCCTCAAGCCCTGGAAGTGGAGGAAGAAGAAAAGCGAGAAGCTGAAGCACACGACGTCCGGTGAGCACGGGGGTTGCGCTCGCCGTGTTTCCGTGGCGGGTGCTGTCTTCCTGGCCCCACACTGGAGGGCAGGCCGGGGTCAGTGGCCTACGACAGCCAGGAGCCGCCCAGCCACCCCAGGATCACTCCCTGCCCAGGCCCTGCCAGGTCCCACTGCTCAGCCGGGACAGGTCTGCGCCGACACCCAAAGGGCATGCATGTCACCCGGGACCATCAAAGGGGCAGGGCCACCTGCACTGCGACCCTGGCTTCTCCCAAGCCCTCCTGGCAGCTCTCCCCGAGTAACACGCCCCCTGCCGCCGCCCGGGAGCCCACTCTCTCAGCGCTGGGGCCCCGGGGCCCTAGGAGCCCCTGGTGACGCGGAGGGTCAGGGCCCTCAGCGCTAAGCTCGTCCCGAAGAGGCTCCCTGCCTGGGAACCCGAGTCCCCACGCCTGCCCTCAGAGGACCCCGAGGGGCGCCCGCTCACCTCCAGCTACTTCCTTCACTGGCCGGTCCTGGTTGTGTTGGGGAGTCAGGTTGCTCCTCCTTGCCATTCACACTGGGAGCTGTGACCGTTAGACTAAACAGTAGGGGACGTGTGGTGGCAACAGTGAACTGGCCACAACAGCAAGTAGTGACAGCGTGTTTCTCACCAACAGAATATTCAGAGCCACCCCGAAGGAGCGCTGAATCAGCTCTGCTCCCCAGTGCATGCCCCCACTTGCTCAGCACCTGGCCCATAGTAGGTGCTCAGTAAATAACTGAGCGGATGCACTGACTTCAGTGTCCTTACCCATTTGTCCACTGCTGCTGGACGTGCAGCTGCAGCAGGTGGGCCGCTCCGTTTGGTCCCCTGCAGCCGGCTTGGGCAGAGCGCTTGCCTGTACCCATGGGTGGCCCACAGGCCTGGCAGCCAGCTGGCTGTTTGCACCTTTTAAAGAAAGGGCCTGAGGGTTACGTAGTTTTGTATTTGGAAACTGGGTCAAGTGCAGGCAGGCAGATGTCTGGGCAGCTGGAGGAAAAAGGGAGACTGATGCTCTGGGCCCGGGCCCGGGGGCGGGGGCAGCTCTCCCCAGAAGGGACCCCCAGGCTTTGGCGCTGGGGTGTGGAGTTGCTGGCATGGGGTGTGGAGTTGCTGGTGTGGGGCGTGGCCCTCCCTCCCTCCCACCCGGCAGATGCTTCGGAAGCATTAACCTGCAGTGCACAGGGGAAGCTCTGGGCCTCGGCTGCACAGAGGCTGCATCGCAGACAGCGCGCGGCTGGATGTGCTTAGCAGCCGCTGGCAGGGACAGAGAGAGTGCCCCAGGGGGCTGGGGCCCGAGGGAGGACAGGCCGGGGCTCCTTAATGAAGGAGTCTGCGGCAGGGGCGGCGGGGACCTGCCAAGAGACGGGCCCGGGAGGAGGTGGGGCACGCAAGCACAGCCTCCCCTTACCTGCTGCTTCCCTGTGTCTTCTCGCTGCTCCGTCCTGGCTCACCTGGCTGTGTGCATGTGCAGTGCTGGAGAAGAAGGTGGCGGGCCGGCAAGGGCGGGAGGAGCTCATCAAGAAGGGGCTGCTGGAGATGGTGGAGCAGGGTAAGTTGTGGGGCGGGGGTGGGGGTGGGGGCAGGGGACGTGGGGGCTGGGAAGTAGGCAGCTCTCCTGGGAATTCCTCCTGGGCCCAGGAAGCCCATCAGGCGGAATGGAATTTGGGGAAGTCTGGCGTCCGTGCATGGTGCTGGACACCCCCTCCCCCCTCCGGTGAATGGGCCCTCCACAGTGGGAGCAACTCTGAGTCGTGATCCCCTGGCTCAGCCCCTCGGGCCTCTGGGGGCCTGTTGGGGAGCTGGGGGCCGCCTGCCATCGGGCACAGAGACGGGAACTGTCAGCTCGGTGGGGGCCGTCCAGTCGCCTCCCGGGAGCTCGGTGCAGACGGGGCTGCTGGTTGGACCTGCTTCCCTGCAGTGGTCCAGGGCTTTCTGCTGTTCCCACGTTCACACTTCAAATCCTTGATCTGGGCAGTTTGATGTCAATTGCAGCCACTGCTGCCGTTGCCGAACGCCTACCTTGGCTCTGTGCCAAGGGCTGGGCTGGGGGCTGTACCTGCCTCCTCCCTTGGGTCCTCACAGCCTCCTCGGCTGGCACATCCTTACCCATGCAGATAAGGAAAGCGTGGGTCCAGGAGGCAGCGGCGGCGGCCACACAGCCGCAGGGCTGAGACGTGTTCTGTCCCTGGGCTGGAGGCCTTGGTGGCGGTGCCTGCGGGGCCACCTGTGTTGACTCTTTGGGAAGCGGCGATCGTTGGGGCAGTGCAGTTAATTCATGGGGTCCTTGACTCCGTCTTCCTCTCCCAGTGATTCTGGAAGGCCCGAGGCCCAGGGCGTGGGGCCTGGTGGGCTTTGTGGCTCCCTGACACCCCCAGGGGGTTCCCCAAACCTCCCTCTGGAGCTGCACCAGGCCCTTGCTCCTGGTAGGAGGAAGGCGGCCTTTCGGCCGGGGGCGGGGTTCATCAGAATCCCGCCCCTTTTTCAGCCTTCCCCCAGAGCCGCAGGGTGGGCAGTGGGGGCCCGGGAACAGAGCTCCAGAGCCCCGCCTTGTGAGGCGCTCTGCCCCCAGCCTCGGCTCACAGACCCATGCGGTCCCGAGCGCTTGTCACTGTCCCTTGTAGGTTCCAGGACTAGAGTAGCTTGATGGTGATGTTTCAGGGGAAACCCATGCAGGCACGTGCTTAGTACCGGTAGCCAAACTCCACCCGTGAGAGGAAAGCGGTTCTCACAGGTTTGCAGGGGTGTTGTTGCCGAGACAGAAATTGGACAGTTTTACCTTGGAGGGGACAGAACACCTGCAGGCGCAGGACATTTTGAATGTATTACCAGCAAATGTTGCTTTGGATCTTGGGGGAGGGAAAATGAGTGAAGAGAATTAAGGTCTGTTCATCACCTGTTATAAAAAATGGGCTCCCCGGCGAACGGAGACTAAATCCGGACGTGGGCAGATCCCGGGGAAGCCAGGGCGGGGGGGTGGGGGGAGGCGACGGGGCCAAGACCTTCAGCAGGGCAGCCTGTGGCTCCTGAGGGCCGAGCCTTTGTTCCATGGCTGCTTCCGACGGGCCGAGAACAGAGACCTGGGGACAGGCCGTGGCAGCCGCCCAAGGGCCGGGCCGACCGCCGGGCTGTGCGGCGGCTGAGGCTGGGCTCCGGGCGCCCGCGCGTGCGATGAGGCCCCGCTCAGGCCTGCCCGCCCCTCCTGCGAAGGGTCCGGTGGTGGGCACGCAGGCTCTGGGGGCCCGGGGTCTCCGTCAGGACCGCCGACCCTGCCACAGGGGGGCAGAAGCCCGCCGCATGTGGCGGAGGGGGCGCGCTGCCCGAGGACTCTGCCTCGTGGGCATTGGCGTTTGGATCCGGCATGACTCACGAACTGTTAGATTGACTTTTTCCAACGATGTGAAGATGGGGCGTCCGCGCTCCGCTCAGGCCTAGGAACAGGTGGCGGGCTGGGGTTTGCCCGCCGCCCCGTAGGGGGCAGGTTGGCGGCGGCCTCTTTCTCTCTCAGGAGTGATCATGGACCAGGAGTTAGAGGGGCCTGAGAGTTAGTTTCTTTCCTCAGGCGTTGAAAATACACTTCGTAATTGGTGCTTTAGCACTTTAGCGGGAAGCACCTGCTCTGCGTGCCGCTCGCGCTTGCTGCCGAGGTACAGGTGGTCCAGCCAGATACCCCCTCCCAGGTGTGTAGCCTGGGGCGGGCAGGCGGCAGCATGCAGGCTGCGTGGCCCAGGTGTCAGGGATTGGGGAGGCAGCTCCGTGAGCGCAGCTCTGAGACACGCTCTGGGGTTTCGGAGCCACAGCTGAGGGGAGTGTGGCGAGGCCCGGGCCGTGGCGCCTGAGCACGTGACACGGGCGCCTGGCCTGGCTGGTTTGCTGCATGGGAGGGCCACCTGGGGGTGGCTCTTAATGGAAGTGTGTGGGCGTGGCTCCCACGCTTCCAATCCCTCAGCTGCCGCTGCCTCTGCTGCGCAGCCGAGAGGCCCGGGAGGCAGAGAGAGTCTTCGCCGAGGAGCCCAGAGGAGGTGGGTGGGGTGCGGTGAGGTCAGAGACTGCAAGGGGGGGGGCGCGTGGGACCCGCAGGACATCCCACCTTCTTTGTCCTTTGTCTCCAACACGGTCAGAGTCAAGAAAGAACCCCCAGGATGCAGCCGGGGCACAGGTCCCCCCAAGCCTCGGTGGGAGCCCAGGGCAGGCGGTGAGTGGGTCTGCGGCGAGCCTGTCCTGGGCGTCGCTCGGCTGGAGGCTCCTTAGAGGGCGGGTCCCAGGCGCTGCCTTGGGGAGAGGCGTGGAGGGTGACGCACTCGGCGGGCATGGGTACCGCCCGGGTTCTTAGAGCGTCTCCCCTCCAGTGGATGCACACGGACCGCGGGACCTGTGGGCAGGCCCGGCAGCAGGCGCCCGGGGTGGCTGCTTCCTCGCCCTGCCATTTCTGTCATGCGCCGGCTCCGAGGAGGCCTCTTCTCACTGGGGGCAAGGTCAAGCTCAAGGTCCGGCCCCTGTGTCCCTCATTAGAACTGGCCGGTGTGGGGACATCAGGGTCCTGCTGGGTTAACAGGTGTTCTGTGGCCCTGAGCCCGGGGCAGGGGGCGAGCACGAAGGCTCCGGAATGACCGGGAGCACTGACTGGGGTCATCGCTCCTCCCTGCCCCTGGCCCTCCGGCCGCCCCTGGCCCTCCGGCCGCCCCCGGCCCCTGATGGCAGCTGTGGTATCTGGGCTTGGGTTATGTGGCCTCCCTGAGCTGCAGCACCTGCTCCCAACCAGGCAAATGTTCCTACAACCAGGACCCCACACGGGGCGGCTGCGTGGGTGACAGAAGTCCCCATGGGCCCAGGTCAGACTCTCGCAGAGCAGCCCGGGTCCTCAGCTGTCCTGAGAGCTTGGACTCGAGCTTTGGTGGCCAGGACAGACCGCGGGAGGGAGGGCCCTCTGCCCTGTCCACTCATATACACACACAGTGCCCACTCCTGTGGACGTCACCCTGGAGTTTGCCCACGCAGCAGTCACCAGCGTAACCGTGGGAGCTGACCCCAGGGGCCTGACCAGGGCACGGCTTGCCCCCCACCCTTGGGGGAGGGGGTGAGTTCGTAACCGTTCACACCTGTGTTCAGCGGCCCCCCCGGGCCCCTCTGCTCCGGCTCCTGGAGGCCCCGGGAGGGCTGTGCGTTTGTGGGATGGGCCGGTGGGGACTGGACCAGGTCTGTGTGGGGAGGGGGGAACCCCTTTGTTTCCATCTTCACGACCGTGGCCATCGTTCTGACACAAGTGACAGGTGAGGGCCGGCCGGCCCCACCCAACGTCGTGAGGGCAGCACCGCAGGCGTCTCAGCCAGACGCCGCGTGTTCCTGGGTCACTGTTTGTGTCCCTGCGGCATTTCCCTCCGTAACTTCAGGAGTTCACACGTTACGCCGGCTGCGAGAGAGACCTGTCACCCTGCCGCTGTGCCCAGGGGCCCGAGGGGCACAGGGAGGTGACAGTGGGGCTCCTGGTGTCCGTGCACCAGGAAGCGGGGGCAGTGGGTGCGCAGGTGTGCAGGCGGCTGTGGTGCGTGTCTGCGTGCACGCGTGTGCACAGGGGTGCCTGCGGGTGTGTTGGGGGCGCGCTCCCTCTCCCCGGCCACTCTGCGGATGACACAGGCTCAGCCGTGTGCTCTGTCCGTGGCACCCGGGAGGGACAGGGCAGTGTGGAAATCAGGCGGCAGGAGGGAGGGCCGCGCCCACAGCTCCCCATCCCAGCGGGCGTTTCCTAGCAACCACCCTGCCACTGGGGCTATTTTGGGAACTGTAACTTTTCATTGAACGAGATTAGGGGCTGCAGCTTGAGCCCGCTCAGCCAGGGGGCGGGCGGCGGGCAGCTCCGCTGTCCCAGGAAAGCCGGAGGCCCCCGGGCCGCCGGGCCCAGTGTCCAGCCAGCTCCTTCCCGGTGTGGGGGCTGCGGAGGCTGCGGAGGCGGAGGGGCCCCTGTGACTGACGGCACAGCAGTGGCGGCTGGATGGCCGCACCCTCTCGGGCTCAGGGTCCCCATCTGGGGGTGGGGCGGAGGTCCAGGTGGGATGGCATTCGCGAGGTGCCCATGCACGTCGCTAGCAGGGCGTGCGCCCTCACGCGGGGCGGGCTGTCACCGTTCCTTGTGAGAGCCGACCGAGGGGGCCGGGGGCGTCACAGCCCTGCGTCAGGCAGGACGAAGCCGGTCGTGAGAGACGGTCCGAGAAGCTGCGGTTTTGGGCTCTGTGGCCTCTGATGTCCACTGAGTTCCCTTGGCTCTTGTCTGGGTCTTTTCCTAGGTCAGAGGTCGGCTGGCAGGTTGTAGCTGGGGTCACCAACTAGAGCCTGTTTTTAGAGGGCCATGAGCTGAGAATGGTTCTCAAACCCAGGGTTTTTGTAAAATCAAGGAAGCGAATGCAGCTTGGACCGCATGGCGCATGGCCCTCAAAGTCTGAGACGTGGCCACCCGTGCCTTTCCAGGAGAAGGTGGCCGGCCCCTGGCCTGGACCCCGGTCGGGTGGCACAGCTGCGTCGACGAGATGCCTTAGCCCCAGAGCGGCAGACGGCCCCGGCCGGCTCCCCGCCCTCCCCGAGGAGGCGGCGCTGCACGGGACTGTGAGTGGACACGGTCCCAGTGCGGGGCCCTTGAGGGCCGCGGCCGGCCTGAGTCCTGGGCGTGGCGCCGCCGCCTGGAGGGAGCCCGTTAGCACTGCCGGGCGCGTGCGGCCTCACCGTCAGCACCGCCTCCCCCACAGCAGTAACGAAGGCTGCGGCGCGTGTTTGGGGTCCGTGCCAGGCACGCCGCCCGTGTTAGCTCACTGAACGCGCTCGCCTCTGCGGGGAGGCAGGTGCGGAGAACCGGCGGTTATCCCGCCTCACAGGTGAGGCGAGTGAGGCCCGTGGGCATGCACCGCGTGAGTACGAGACGCGCAGGCGGGGGGCCTCACGCTGCTATCCAGTCCCGGCGCCCTGGGCGTGGGAGGGGCACCCTGCTGCAGGGCCTGAGGACAGCAGGCGGAGGGGCCCTGGCTCCCCCTCACCCCCACTGTGGGCGGAAGCAGCGTGGAGACGGCTCGGCTGAGCCCGGGGCCCAGCCCAGCTGGCGTCCCATGCCGCTGCCCCCGGCTGGGCGAATGCACGCAGGCCGTGCTGCAGCCCCACCCCGGGGTGGCCTGGCACACCGTGCGGCTGTGGGGACAGCAGCCTGTGTCTCACAAAGGGCTTTCTGTCAGCTGCTGCCACCTTGTGGCTGTGGGGCCTGGACCAGGTATGGCTCCTGAGCGCTTGGCGTCTCTTCAGTGAGATGTGGCCCCGAGGGGTCAAGGGTCAGACCCTCAAAGGCACCAGCGCCTGATCCCCTAACAAGGGAGCCCGGGTCCTCTTCTCGGCCCTGCTGGGGGCCTGGTGTCATCTTTGCGGGATGGCCGCCTGTCTGCGCCGAGACCCCAGGTTCCATGACCCCTGCAGTCCTTGGCAGCTCCCAACTCCTGAGCGCACGAGCCACAGCGTGTGGCGTGGCTGGGGGTGACGATCGCGGCTGTCCCTCCCCTCCTTCCCAGGGTCTCATGGTGCCAGATGCAGGCTGAGTAATTGAGAAACGTTTGCATCATGGGGGACCCATGGGGAGTGGGCGCAGTGGTAAATCTGTTGTTGTCGTCTGTGACCGCAATAACGTCACCTAACAAACGACCCCAGCAGTATGGGGGCATGTGTTGTCATCGGCCTGAGTGGCCTTGGCTGGCAGGATGGGGGCAGCTCGGCCCTGTCCCCCGCCCCTCCCAGCTTGCCAGCAGCTGTGTCCAGGGGTGGCCTTGGGGCAGGGGCACACAGAAGCAGCAGGCAGGTGCATGCAAACACTTCCGAAGCCGCGGAAAGTGGCTGGCGTCCTGCTCCCCAAAGCCAGCCCCAGGGCAGAGGCCAGGGGTCGGGTGGAGGAGCGCCCGGGGGGGCAGATACGGGTGGCGGGCTTTGTCGGGGTCGCGTCGGTTTGGAGGGAGCACACAGGCAGGTGTGAGGGCAGAGGCCAGGGGCCAGGGGCCAGGGGCGCCGCTGCCACGCGTGGTGCTGCTGCTGCTGCGGAAAGCCGGTGTGGGGGGCGGGTAGGGCTCCGCACAGGGGCTTGGGGCAGCTGTCCAGGGGGGCAGCGGCGCGCAGGTGAGAGCGGGACGGGAGGACGCGCCGGGCTGACCGCTGAGTTTCCCTGCAGATGCTGAAAGCAAGGTGGGCGGCCCCGACGGAGGCCCCCGTGCAACGCAGAGCGAGCCCTGCACGCCCCGGCAGGAGTCCCCGACGCCGGAGGGTGCCCCGCCGGGGAGACCGCTGGCCGCCGGGACGGACCAGGCGTTCCCGGATGAGCCGCAGCCCTCGGACCGCCGCTCGGATGACGCAGGTACGGTCTGGCGACCGGGGTCCCCGGCCGGGACCTGGGCCGTGAGCAGCCTGTCGGGAGACTGTCCTCGGAGGCCCGCCCGCCCGCCACACGGCGCCCTGCGGCCGGGTTCAGGTGTGGGCCGGAGCGTGCCCCCTCCCGTCTTCTCCCTGGGCCGCGCAGTCGGTGGGTGGAGCCACTCACAGGGCTGCCAGGCGCCCCCCCTCCCCCACCGCACGTGCCTTTGTTCCTGGATGCCTTCACTTGTCCCCGGGAGCTTCGGAGCAGGAGACTGTCTCCCAAGGGAGCAGTGTCCAGAGGCAGCATTTTTGCTGGGCAGGATGCAGGTTGGGGGCCCTTCCTAGTGGCCCAAGTCCACAGCAGGGGCTGCCCCCTGAGCAGCGCCCCTGCCTCTATCCTGAGCCGGGGCTTCTATGAGCCACCGCCCTCGCGGCTGCCCCCCCCACCCCCCGCCCCGGCCGCCTGTGCTGCTGTGCACGGGCGGTGGCTCCTCCCCGGGGAGGGTGCGTCTCGCCGCTTCGCCGCCGGGTGTGCCTGGTGCGCTGCCCCAAGCCTCAGTGGTTCCTCCTGTGAAATGGGACAAACGTTTGCTGGGGCGTGTTGGGGGAAGGACTGGGCGCAGTGTCGGCCACCGTGAGCAATTATTGGTGGTGTGGCTGTGACTGGGGGCGGGGGGGGGGTCGTTATTTTAGTTGACTCGACCATGGTGATTGCCAGCCAGGGGGAGGGTGGGGAGGAAGGAGAGCGTGAACCCAGCAGAGAGACGTGCGGGTGCTTTGCGGGGAGCACCCCCTGTGCACTCCGACCTGCCCGTGGCGATTCGGAGAAGGCCCCGGACGGCCTCCCTGCCGAGCAGGAAGCCTGTCTCCCAGAGAAGGTGCAGCCGCAGGCGTGTCAGGCCTCGTGTGGGGGCTGGGCTTGGGCTGTGTCGCGCCCCTGTGGGGGGTGGGAGACCCCAGCTGCGGGGACGGCCTGCGGGGGACGGCTGTGCCCCACGGCCGGCTCCTGCCCGGTGCGCACCCGCGCTGCTCGCCACGGTGCGGTGTCCCCGGTGGCAGCTCCAGCTTGGGTGGGCACCTGCCAGGAGGGGCTGGCTGTGCCTCTCCAGTGTCACCCCAACCTGGGGACACAGTAGGAGTTTGGGGTCTGAAGGGCTGCGGCTGTGGGACGGTCCCGGCGTCTCCTCAGGGGCCCTCTTGGGACCCCTGTATCCTGCGGTCCCCCAGCATCAGATGTCAGGGCGGGTGGAGGTCGGTGGGATTCTGGGGGCCGAGCGAATGCAGCTGCGCTGGCCCTGGCCTCCCAGGTCGCCGCTCTGCTGGGTCCGAGGGACGTGCCGATCTCCATCGGGACCCTGGCCTTCGGTGCGCGCTCTGCCCGGGGTGTGGGGCAGGTGTGAGAGCAGACTTGGTTTGTGGAGTACAAATTTGTGTTAAGGGCCTTCGTGGGCGGGGGGTGGGGGAGGGAGCAACGTGCTGTTGAGTCTGGGGGTTGTCCTCCCAGAGCCGCGGGAGACAGTGTGCTTCCGTGACTCCTGGTCCCAGACCTGAATCCTTCCTGGAGTATGCGACCGCGGAGCAGCCTCTGCTGAGTGTTCAGTGGGTGAGCAGCGACCTCTGCTGGTCAGGACGAGGCAGGGAACCCCAAGGAAGGGGTCCCCAAATCAGGGCAAGTGCAGAGCTCACTTTGTCATCTGCGAGATCCCCCCCATACAGCATTTGAGACCTCAAGGGATATTAAAATGTCATTTTCATCAAGATTCTAACTACAGGGTCTGGCAAAAGTAACGCCTCTTTGAGTGCGGTTGGTAGAATAACAACACGGGTGTAATAATTTATAGTTTTAATTTGAACATTGCATCTAACATGTCATAGGGTGTGCGTGAGTGGGGTATTATGTTAGAGGATTACACGCACATGATCTTCTAATAAAAAATTGTGTAGGAAACAAGGGCATTATCTGTGCCGGACCCTGTATCACGGCAGCGGCGCGCTGCCGTGTGACAGGCAGGGACTCGGGGGGACGCGCACACCCCGCAGGTCAGGGACACGGCGCCACGGCGTGGTGCGCGAAGGCGAGTTTGGGGGAGGGGCTTTGGAGGAGAGCTTTGTGGGGTGAGTGGCTGGTGTGTTGAGTCCCAGGGCTTTCAGAGCAGAAGGGGGGCCCACATTCCACTTGGGGCTGGTGGGGAGGGGACAGCTGTGGCGCTGGTGGGAGTCCGTCCTGCAGCCTCTCGGGTTGGGCTGGTGTGGGCTGTGACCGCTGACGCCCAGGGATCTGGGGCTGTCCTGTCTGGGCGTCGCCCGCTGCGTGGCTACTAATTAAAACTAAATAAAGCTCCAGTTCAGCTCTCCGGTCACGCCGGCCACCTGTCAGGCGCTCACCGGCCACAGTGGCTGGTGGCTCCTGCGAGGGGCAGGGAGGGAACACTCCCATCGTCTCAGAAAGTCCCCTTGGGCGGCCTTGGGGGTAAGGGGCGCCGTGCACGGTGGAGTGCGACGAGGGGGTTCTGCTTGGGCGGGCGGGCCCTCCGGGGCTGTGGGGCCGAGACACCCGTGATGCGCTGAGCCGAAGCACTTCCTGGAAAACGTCTGCCGGCTGGCAGGTCGGGGAGGGGATTCGGGGCGGGGGGGCGGCGAGGGAAGGGGCCTGGGGACCGCCGGGCGGCGGGCTCTGAGGTCCAGGCAGAGGCTGTGGCAGCCGGCACTGGGGACCGGGGCTTCTGGGTCGCCCCCACCGAGGTAGGGTGCCGGAAGCTTCATCCAGAGATGGGCTTCCAGAGATGGGCTTCCAGAGCTCAGTGGAGAGAAGGGAGGCAGGAGACTTGGGGGTGTGGGTGAGGTGGGTGCTGTGGTGGATGGCAGACGCTGAGCTGGACAGAGAGAAGTAGGAAGGGGGTGGGTGGATGGGTTGGAGGAAGTTGGTGGGGCACAGGGTGCAGGGCGGTGCCCCAAGGTCTGGCGGAGCTGTTCCAGGGGAGCCTGGACCAGCAGCTGGAAGCAGTGGACGGGCTGGGGGCTCTGGGAGGGCTCACCCCTCCCCACTACCCATCTGGTGAGCCTGCCAGGGGGTGGGGCTGCTGCCATGTGACTGCCATGTGATGTCAGTACGTGGTGGACAGGAGGCGCTGCCACGTGCCAGGCACACACCTGTCATCACCTTGTCTTGTGAGGGACTCCTGTTACCAGTCCACCGTCGCACATGGACGATGCACCAGTAAATGGAGACACAGAGAGGCTTAGTGATTGGCCCAAGGTCACAGAGTGCGCACAGGGGCCCACGGGAGCCCTGGCGTGTCTGATCCCGAGGCCTGTGGTGGCGACCACGCCCCTCCACGGGGCCAGGTGGGAGCTTTGGCACCCCCTCGCAGGAGAAAAGGGTGCTGACTCCCTCTCATCACTTCCCCCTCTCTCGCTTTGGGCACATCTGCGGATAGTTGAACACACAGGAAGTCAGGTCTGTGTGTGTGGTGAGCTCGCTGTCGGACTTCGTGTCATCTGTCCCTCCCACCCCCTTGCCGTCCTCGCTCACACCCACCGCAGTCAGAGGAGCCACAGTTATGGGGACTCTCTTTTGCCTTTGATGCAGCCAGGACACCCTCAGTCTCCAGAGGTGAAGAAGCAGACGCTGCCGGCAGCCTTGCGCCTCCTGCGGGCGAGGCACCCCAAGCCTTAGCTGGGTCCGACTCCCTGGACAGTCCTCCCAGGACCCTGGAGAGGTCCGTGGGCCAGCTCCCCAGTCCCCCGCTGCTGCCCACCCCACCGCCCAAGGCAGGCGCCAAGGCCACGAAAGGTGTCACAGGTGGGTCCGCGTCTCGCCCGTCCCTCCCTCCCGTCCACCCGTCAACTCTTCCACCGTCCTGACTGGGCCTCCCCCTGGGGGCCGGCGCTCACCCTGCCCTCGGGGCTCTGGGCGGCTCCGGGCAGCAGAGCTGGCGCTGGAGGGCTGTCCCCGGCGGTGGCGGCGAGGCGCTCTGGCTGTCGGCGGCCACGCAGGCCCCTGCGGCACATGGGGCGGCTGTGGAACAGGAGACCCAGCCAGACCCCAGGGAGGCGGCCGGCCGCCTGCCTGGTGTTCAGGTGTCCGTCCTGTGCCCGTCTCTCTGCGACATCCGGTCCATCTCTGAGTCTGTCTCACTGTCTCTGCTCATCCCTGGTCCGTTCCCCAGTCATCCCCCCGCCGAGCCCCTTCCCGGCAGGCGGGTTTGGGTGGGGTCACCGGGGGCACGTGCTGGGGCAGGGGCCCCAAAGGCCCCACTTCCGGGGCTTGGGCCGCGCCGGCTGTGTTGTCTGAGGCGGCCGAGACACTGGGAACGGGACGCCGTTGGTCTGGGGGGACGCTGCCCCCGCCGAGAGGGGTTTCCAGGCGCCCGCGCTGCCTCCGGGAGCAGAGGCCTGCAGCTCTGCGTGCGCCCTCGGCCGCCCTCACGTGCCCTCGGCCGCCTGTTGGGCGCACTGTCCCAAGCACCCGAGAAGTCCTGCCACACACGGCCCCTCACAGCCCTCAAGGGACGGGACGTGTGCCTGATCTTCAGTGGTGGAAACTGAGGCCCGGGGCACCAGTGGCTCGCCCGGCCCCCGGCTGATGGAGACTGGAACCCGGTTTGGGGCCCCAGGCTCTTACCCTGCCCGCCCCAACTGCCCTCCCTGCTGGAATGTTCTTTCCCCTCCTGTCACCTGGTCAGCGCATCCCCGTCTCTCCTTGTGGGAGCTTTTCCGACCAAAAACCCCACAGCCTCGCCCCTCCTTGCCCACCGGCATTCGCCCCATCGTTCCACCGTGTGCAGGCGAGCATTGGGGGCATCAATCGGCTGTGTCACCTCCTAACGTGGGGACTGGAGGGGGGCTGCCAGCTTTGGACTTTGGCTGGGATCCCTCACAGCTGAGACTGCATTTGGAGTTTTTCCCTTTCCTTTGGGGAAACGTTTGCTTCCTCCTGTGAACACTAGGTGGCGGCAGAGGCGGCGAAAGGCCCCTCCCCTGGGCTTCCCTAGGGCCCTGGGGAGCACCTGCGAGCTGAGCGCCCCCCTCCCAGCCCCCACGTCGCGCTGTCTTGTCTGGGACGCGGGGCCCAGGGCTTCCTCCCACCATCGGTCACCCCGCCAGGCACCTCCTGGACTTGCCGTTCTGGGTCCACATGGGTTTCATTTTTAAAGAGGAGTCGCCAATATTTAAAACATACTGATGTTAATGTGTATAAAACATAGGAAGCTTTTTATTTTTAATCCAGATTTCTGGCTCTTTTGGCCAAGAGCACGAGGCTGTGGTGTTTGGTCAGGAATCGGTCCCGGAGGGAGGGACAGGGATGCACTGACTGGGGGACACGGGGGGAAACGTCCTCATATCGCACAGCCCCACGGAGATGGGGCTGCGCAGGCCCTCCTGTGTGTCCCCTCCCGCCCTTCTGCATGACTCGCCCCTTGACCGTGGGGACTCGCCCCTCCTCCCCAGGACAGGCTTTCCCTGGCCCGGCCCGGCCAGGTGACAGTGGCCGCCGCCTCTCTGCCAGCTGCCCCGGGAGCCACCGCCGGGTTCTGGTCCCCGCCCTGGAGGTGCACGATCTGGACGTGGCTTCCGAACCTCCGTTTCCTCCCCTGAGAAGCCGCAGGGACAGAGGGTCCCCGGTCGGGGAAAGTGCTCAGCCATGTGGCCTTTGTTCGGCGTGTCCACAAGGGACAGCGGTGCCCAGGCCCTGGGTGGGGCCCACGCTGGGGGGGGTGGCGTTCCCGGGCCTGCGTCACCACAGCCCCGCGCTTTGTCTCCACACCCTGGCCCGGCCCGGCCACTCATGCCCTTGGGTCCTCTCGCCCCAGGCCAGGCTGTGCTCCTCCCAGACGCCGGTGGGAAGACCGTGGACCCGCCCCTCCGGGGACAGCTCTCCACGCCCACGGGGTCCCCGCACCCCGCCACCGTCCACCGGCCGCTGCCCCCGAGCCGCGTCATCGAGGAGCTGCACCGGGCGCTGGCCACCAAGCACCGCCAGGACAGGTAGGCTTGTGGCCTGGCCTCGGGGGCCCATGAGCCCAAGGTCCCAGCCAGGCCGGTGTCCAGGCTGGGCTTGCTGCTCCATGTGACCGCCTGGAAATGCCCCGTCATCTTCTAACGAGGAGCCGGGCCTTTGAGTTTTGCATCGGGCTCTGCGCTGCCCTGGAGCTGGTCTTGGTTGCCATGTTCTGTGAGGGCCCATGGGAACCCAGCTCCGAAGCCCCGCGTTTCCCCAGAGGGTCCTGGAGGGGCGGGGCGGGGGCTCACCAGAGAGACCCCGAGGGCGGAGGCTGGCGTGCAGGGGAGCCTGTTTCAGGGGCTCCCTCTCTCCTTGATCTCATGTAGCTTGTGTAGCTTGTAGGGAGCGAGCTGCTGGGGGTGCCTAGCAGGCGACAGGACAGGCTCAGGGCTTGGGGGGAACACGGGACAAACGGGGTGCCCTTCTCAGTTCTCGGAAGGCCTGGGTCTGTGAGCATTGGCTGCCCAGGGTGGCAGGGTTTATTGTGGGTGCCTCTGTGCTGTTTAAAGGCACATGTACTTACTGCCACGTGCCTGGGACTCAAAGCCACACATACGTGTGCCTTTTGTGTGTGTTCTGGGTGTGGGACAGAAGCCAAGAAGTCCTTCTTGTGTTCGGGGGTGGCCCATGCAATATCCGTGATAAGCCTCCTGTCACCTGGGGGTTATTCCAGGCAAAGGGGACAACGTATACCTTGATCTACTTTTCTGATTCAGTTTTCAAGGGAGGGACAGTAAAGGGTCCCCAAAGAAGCGGATGGACGTCCGCCTGTCAAGAACGTCCAGCGTGGAGCGGGGCAAGGAGCGGGAGGAGGCCTGGAGCTCCGACGGGGCCTCAGAGGGCAAGCGGGCGGCGGCCAAGGACTCGGAGGAGAACAAGGAGAACTTGCTCGTGAGCACGGGACTCGAGGACGACCTGCTCCTGTACCAGGACGAGGAGGCGCTGAACGACTCTGTCATCTCCGGTGAGTGGGATGCACAGACGGGCTCGGCGTGGAGATGCCGGACGAGCCTATTTACGCCGGTGCTCACGCGTTAGCCTCGTGTGTGTGTGCGCGCGTGTGCGTGTGCGTGTGAGAGAGAGAGAGAGAAGGTGAACGCGACCTCAGCAGGTGACTTTGAGAGGATCTGTGTTCAGGGTGATGTGGCAGAAAGCGGTGCTCGCTGTACTCAGAGCCCAGAGTTTGTGGCCTCGGTGCGGACAGGAAAGCGAGACGGTGCTGGGGAGGGAGGCCTCCGGACACGGTGGCAGCGGGACAGTCCCCTCGGTGGGAGCCGGATGTCACGAGGCCCTGGGACGCGCATCTTGCCTCTGCCCCCACAGTGCGTTGTGTTCTCAAGGTCGTTCTCGAGGTCACAGTGACGGCCCCGTCCTGGCCTTGGGGGCCTGGGGGCTTGGGCAGGCAGGGCGTTGTGGGCACCCCTTACTAACAGGGAGGGGGCGCAGAGGGCCCCGCATGCCTGCTGCAAGCCTCACCGCGCGGCACTGCCTCACGCGGTGGGGCGTTGGGTCGGGGGTGGCTGTGGCCGTAGGCCTCGGTGGGCGGGGGAGGTGACTGTTACGGGGTGAAGGGCGGCTGTTCCTCCTGGAAGCACCTCCTGGTGACCGTCACAGGCAAGGAGAGCGCGTGGGGCGCTCTGCGGAGGAGCCAGCCCACCTGGCCCCGACGCCCCTGCGGCCCTGGGCGGGTCCCCACGGTGTCCCCTTCATGTCCTCCTCCCGGGCTCCTGTGACAGCGCTGGGCTGTCCCTTCACAGCGCCACCGCAGCTGCTATCCTCCACAGCACTTGTTACCTGACGCCGCCTGTGCCCTGCTAACTCACCAGCCGGCCGACCCTCGACGCGCGGGTCGGACCTTGGGTGTCCGCACCAGGCAGGGCCACCGGCGGGTCCCCGTTGGCTCCTGCAGCCCGTGACCCCCATGCACCAGGCGTCCCTCCGTTGAGGGGCCCGTCCTCCTGAGGTCTCGTAGGTGTGGCTGAGCTGGTGTCTTAAGATCTGAGCTCCGGACCTTGGTCCCAGGCCTGGTCCATGCCTCACCCCTGTGGACGGGACCTCTGACCTTGCCTGGGCCGGAGCTCCTGGGCGCGCGCCCTGCACTTGCCGCGCAGGTGGCCTCGGGCTGCCCGGGACGCGGGGCCTGCAAAGCAGGAAGCGTGTCGCCCGGGGAGCCCCCGTCCCGGCTCCTGGCCGTCCTGCAGAAGCTGAGCCGCTTCTCCCGGGTCAGGCCTGAGCTGCCTGTCTTTGTGTCTTAAAACCTGATGTCCTTAACTGGATGCCGAGCTTGTGGTCGGGCAGGAGCGTGGAAATGGTCAACACGTCTGGAAACTCGGGCGTCGCTGTCTTGGCGAGCTCACCACCCTCACTGTGTCAGCAAACCCCCAGCGGGGGCTCCTCCCCACTGGCAGCCTTGCACGGCCGTGTATCGGGCCCGCGGCCGAAGCCCCCACTCACCCCTGACAGCGCCGCACTGCGGGCAGGCGGCCAGGCACGTCGGGGGAGCCGGCCCGAACCGGGTCCCTGACCCCGCGGTCGAGCACAGAAGGCCGGTTCCCGTGTGTCCGTCACTCCCTCCCGGCCAGGGGCGTCTGAGCGGACGTGCTGGGAGGGACATTCGGTGCTGGCTGTGGGAAGGTCTCCGGGTTAACTGCTGCCTGCGGGGGTAGGTATTCACAGCGGGAAGGCCCGTGAAAGTGTCCCACGCTGACCCGCAGGACGCCGGCAAGGATCGGCGGTTCTTTGCTTCTCTCGGCTCAAACCCCGCTCCCTCTGTAGTGGCTGCTTCCTCGTTTGTGGGTCTCTGTGGTGCCGCTGCCGGCCCAGTGGCGCGTTCACCCGCTGTTCATTGTAGAAACTGCACGGTTCCCTGTTTCGTTACCCACTGACCGTGCTGCTGGCTGAGTCTCTGCAGTCCTCGTCTTGTCCCATGTAACCGCTCCAGGGTAATGGTCACCTAACACGTCATCAGCCCGAATTCCTCTACAGCCAGCACCGTGTGCATTCGTGTTAGAGTCTGATTTCTTGAGCCGGGACGGCCCTGTCCCAGCCGCTGGCCCCACGAATCCGCTGGACAGGCGTCCTGCGAGACCAGGTTGGGGCGAAGGTGAGTCTGAGTCGGAGGGTGACAGGTGGCGCCCGCACAGGGCAGGTAGGCTGTGCCCATCGACGCGGGGAGATGCGTCCCAGCCTGCGTGCCGGCCTGCGCCGGGCACATGCTCCCACGTGCTCACGGGTGCCGTCACGCCTGGGCAGTCAGCGTCAGGTAAAAGCGGGGTGGCGGGGTGTTCTCACGTCCCTCGGGGGATTTTTTAACAAAGGTCTTTGTTTTATGGAGCAGTTTCAGGTTCATAGCAAAATTAAGTGAAAGGTACAGAGCTGTCCTGTAACCCCGCCCCATCGTCAGCCTCGCCCGCCAGGGGGTACGTTTGCTGCAGGGCATGGACCCCTGTTGGCGCATCGTCGCAGCCCGCGCGTCATTTACGTGAGGTTCGTCCTGTGTTGTAGCGGCCGTTCTCGCTGCCCTGGGCCCCTCTGGGCTGGGCCTGCCCCGCCCCCGCCCCCGCCCCCAGCACCCACTGCTCTTCCATCGCTCCGCTGTTGGCCTCTTCCAGACCTCACAGAGTTGGAGTTGTAGAGCGTGAGGCCCGTTGGGATGGCTTGTTTCCCTTGGTGGTGAAGCCGTTTCATCTGAAACTGACAGCTCCTCCTGCTTTGTTTGGATCAGTGTTAGGATGGTATGTTTTTCTCCAATTTACTCTTAATCTACAGGGATCTGTGTATTTGAGGAGGGTTTCTCGTCGACACCGTAGTGTCGGGTGGTGTTCCTCTGCCCGCTCTGAGAATGTGCGCGTTTTTGTTGGTGTCATTAGACCGCTGATGTTGCAAGCGATCGTTGATGTAGTTGGATTCATTTTCACTGCCTTCGTTACTTTTTTTATAGCCTTGTTCTTCCACTTTTTTGCTGCCCTTTGCCGTTTTAATCGAGCAATTTACATGATTCTTTCGTTTCTGAGCGTAGCAGTTATTTAACCCATTTTACTGGCTGTCCTGGAGCTGATACTGCACACGTACACCAAGGGTCACTTTCATTTATTTATTCTGAATTTTCTCCATTCTTCTAGCTCATTGCCGAGGTTCACGTTTAAACGACACCACACCACCTCAAGGCCGTGCGAGAGCCTTGTGATAACAGAACAGCCCCAGCGGCTCTCTCACCGGGCCTTACCCCTGGGCGCAGGGACTGCACAGGCCTGAGGCTGGGTCCCTGGGGGCAACTCACTGGGAAACCTGGCCATTCCCCCCGTGGGCACTAGGTGGCGCTGTCAGCAGCCCCGGGGAGGCAGGACGTTCTGGGGGGCCTGGCCGCCTCGGGACCACCTGCGGGAGCCCGTCGTGGGGTCTGAGCGGCTTGGTGCCGTCGACATCGAGAAGCAGGGCCGTGGCAGGGGCGCTCCGGCGCAGGGATGATGCGCCACACACAGCCGCTTTCTATTTGGAGCCGCTGTGCCCAGCCGGGAGCTCTGCTGAGCTCCTCCCACGCCTTCTGTCACCTAGTGGACCCCCAGGGCGGATGGGCAGGCGAGGCAGGGACTCTTGTTGTCCCTCGTTTACAATTGAGGAATCAAGGCCAAGAGGGGGTGAGGCACGTACCCGTTGGGAACCCGGGTCTCCCTGGCTCTGTAGCCGGGCAGAGCCTGCGCCTTCCCGCCTTCCCGCCTTCCCGCCCCCCAGCGGGTTCCTCCCCCTGACCTGCCCTCCCAGGACGTGCCCCAGCCTCTTCCGTCCCCGAGCTGCGCGTGCTCTCCCCGTGTCTCCCTGTGAGTGGATGGTCCCACATCTGCGCCCTGGCCCTGGGCTCTGAGGCGGAAGTCTGTCACTGCCTGTGCCCTTGTAGAGGCCCCGCAGCCCCCATCGCAGGAAGCAGAGCCAGGGCTGCCCCCTGGCCCAGGACCCCTGCCCCGCCTCCAGGGTGCCTAGGCCGCACGACTACGCTGCTACGAGCCGGTCACACCGTGGCCGTCCCCTGCTCCTCTTCCTGACCGTGCGCTCTCGCAGTCCCACGCTCACGAGCCACACAGAAAACATGGGTCACACACCACGCGTCTGGGGTCAGCTTCCGGAATAGCGTCCCTTGCTTTCAGAAGGGTCGGCCGCGCTGCTTCTGGCAGCCGCTGTCCTGCTAAAGCACGCACGGGCCTGGACAGGACGCAGAAGGCTGTTGTCGGGGGTATCAGACAGCAGGTGTGCGGGGCTGTCCTCCCGGGAGGACGGGGGGCACAGGGTGAGCCCCTCAGCTGGCTTTTCTGGCCGCTGAGGGCGTCTCGTCGGGGTGCAGGGTGCAGGTCTCGCTGAGACCACGCGGGGACCGTGCTGGGCTGTGGGGCAGCTGGCCTTCGTAGGGGTCCGGCCCAGACAGCGGGGAGGTCTCCCCGAGGACACAGGCAGCGTCTTGACGCCCGAGAGAGGCCACACCGGGGGCGTGAGGGTCCTGTTCAACAGCGCAGCAGGCCTGGCCCTGAGTGCGTGGGGTGTTCAGGGTCAAGATGACCAGATGGAGGGTCCTAGGGAAACACCCTCTCAGAGAACCCAGTGCCCATCCTGGCGTTAAAAAGTGTGACCTCTGACGCGAGAACGCTGGCCGATGGCAGGCGGCCCTGCAGCGTCACTGGTCAGGCGGGGTGCAGGGTGGTCTCGCCCGGGGCGCCCGCGGCCGGGCCCAGGCGCGGAGCCCTGCCACGCCCCTCCCGCTCAATGTCCGAAGCTTCCCACCTGAGCCCAGCCCGCCAGGTTCCAGCGTTGCCCACTTGGGTGGGAAGCGGCTGCCTTAGCAACATGGAGATACGCAGGCACCCCAGCAGTTAAGCCTGCCTGCGTGTCTGTAATTATCCTTAGAATGAAGCTCAAAGTGGGACTAATTGAGAAAAACAGAGCTCACGGTGAGTTTATTTTTAGCTCCAGAGCCTCAGCCTCCTGCCCTCGTTTGTGCAGGTCCCCTTACGTTTCCCGTCCCCCCCCCGGGGGACGCCCGGGACGGCCGCCGGGCCAGGAGCACCAGTGGGGGCCTCAGGCAGGAGCCTGGGCTCGGGAGTCCTCCCCGTGCCAGGGACGGGCACACAGGTGCAGGGAAGGACAGAGGACAGTTCCCCACAGCTTCGGTTACATGAGCAAAACCGCCACGACGTGACTTTGGTCCCCGTGGCACCCGCACCCGGGGAGGGTGCACCGTTATCGGCGGGAAGCGCTGGGCCACCTTGTTCGGGTTTGGGAGGCTGGGCCTCCGTGCAGGTCGCAGTGCAGGTAGCAGTGGTAGTGGTGAGTGCTGGGCGCAGAGCCCGCAGCTGGGCGGGGAGCCGGCAGCTGGGCGGGGAAGGGAGGAGCTGGGCGGGGGCTGTGAGCTGGTGCGTGAGAAGACCCAGGTGCCGAGGGCAGTTAGGCAGCGGGTGAGGAGGTGAGACCTGGGTGGGAGGTGGGGTCGCTCTCACTGCAGCCGTTGGCCCTAGGCTGCCGGCCGCGAGCCCAGTAGCCTCTGCAGCTGACGGGAGCTGCCTCTGGGCCGGGCCTGAGCGGTGGCCCCCCGGACGTCACTGTTCCCAACTTGTCGAATTGGGTTTGCTAAAATTTTGTCTAGAATTTTTACACCGGTGTTCATAGGGGCTATTCATCTTTAGTTTTGAGTTTTTTTTCTGGCTTTGATATCACAGTAAATTCTTGCCTGGTGGTATGAGTTTTAAAGTAGCCCCTTCTTCTCAGTTTCCTAGGATAACGTGTGTAGGATTGGTAGTGTTTATTTTTCAACGTGTTTCGCAGGCTCCATCAGTGCATCTATCTGGCCCTGCGGGAAGGTTTTAAGCTAAGATTCACATCTTTAATGGATACAGGTGTGTCCTGGTTCTACATTTCCCCTTGATGAGCCGTGACCGTTTGTCCAGGGCCAGATGCAGCCACCCCCGGCTCCCGGCGCTGATCCGCCGACCGCTCTCCCCCGCGAGGAGTCCGGCTACCGTTGGATCCATTTGATCGCTCCTCTCAAAGAACCAGCTTTTGGTTTCCAATATTTTCTTTACTGTCTTTCTATTTCTGATTTTATTGGCTTCTGCTCTGACGTTTATTTTTTCTACTGCCGTGGTTTTAATTTGCTCTTCCTTTTCTAGTTTATGATGGCACCAGGGGGCGCCGAGGTGAGCCCTTCCCTTTTCCTAATGAAGACATTTAATGCTGTGGGTGTTTCCCCAACTCCCCTTTGGTGGGTTGCAGTTCTATTTGCTTCAAAATGCTTTCGCATTTCCCTTTCAGTCTCTTCTCAGAGCTATGGGTTATTGAGAAGCTTTTCATTTAGTTTCCAAAGAGTTTGGTATTTTTCTGGACATCTTTTTATTACTGATTTCCAATTTACTCTCACTCCAAGTAGGCACTGTACTTAGTATGACTTGAGTACTTTCAAACTTATTAAAATGTGTCATACGGCCCGGAATGTGGTTTCCTCTTGGTGAATGTCGCATGTGCACTTGAAAAGAATGCACATCGTTTGGGTGTGGGCAGGGGGCAGCGCGCTTTGACAAGTGCCGATCAGGTGGCTTGAGATCAGGTGGCTTGAGAACGGTGGCCGCGCCCTCCCGATCGGCCGCCCCGCCCTCCTGGTCGGTCTGTAGCGTAGAGGTGTGGGAATCTCCGCCTGTAGCCTTGGCCGTGCGGGTTCCCGTCTCAGCCCCACCCTTTGCTGCTTCACGCCTCTGAACCTCCTGAGAGGGCCTTCGACAGTCGGGTGGCGCTGCCCTCCTGGGGTCGTGCCCCGTCAGTGGGCGGGACCCCGCTTTGTTCCCGATGGAGCTCTTTACTCTGAAACCTGCCTGGTCTGATGTTCACAGGCCGTCTTGGCGGGCTGTGGACTAGTCGTGGAGTGGGATCTCTTTTTCCCTGTGTACTTCAAACCTATTCTTGTCTTTTTATTTAAAATTCTTTATTTTTAAACAATTCAATGTGAGAAAACTGCTGAGGATAAAAAGTACAAGACACTAAAACTAGGAAGTTAAATGGTGCGTTTCTGGTGTTACAATGCTGATATAGAGTAAGGTTATAGATACTTAAAAAATTAGATGTACACCTACGTGTTTCTGTTTGTATAAACCAACCTACTTTTCTACATGTCGCTTTTCTCAGCAACATCGTGACTGTCCCTTTGTCCCCCAGTGACGCGGGCCACCGCCGTCTGCAGCGGCTCACAAAGCTCAGGTGGTGCCGAGGCCCCTCTTGTTGGGTTTCCTGGCTGCGCAATGTGTCACCTTCATGAATGACGCTCGCTGTCCCTTACGTGCTCATTCCTTTTGTTTTGGGCGGCAGACTCCCAGAAGTGGGCTTTCTGGGTCAAAGACGGGACAGCACGCGTGTTTGGGGGCCCTTGGGAGGGCGGCCAGCCGGCTCCCCGCAGCCTGGCAGACGGGCGCCCCGGCCTGGCACTCAGCTTCCCACCTGCCCGGCGCGCGGCTCCTTGTCTGAACGCGCGCTAGTCCCGGTGACTCCCGCCGGCCTGTGGGGAGATGCACCTCTCGAGTTCAGGGAAAGCACTCACTTTAAGCTGCCTGGAAATTGCCCTCTCAATTTTCATCAGCGAACCATGGTGATGCTCGACTTGGGGCCGGGGGGAGGCCTGATGCGTGTGCACGGTGGGCCTGCCGTGTGCCTGCTGCACTCCCCGGAGCTGGATGGAGAGCAGAGCGGGGCTTGCCCTGCACCGGGATTTCCCGTGGGGTGAATGCCCAGTCACGTCCAGAAACCTCTGGTGGAAGGACAAATGTGACCCCAGTTCGCACGACAAGCCTGAGACAGGCGCACCAGGCTTTGGGGCTCTCGGGAGCGGAAGCGATGAAACCGCGCTCCGCGCGGTTTGTGGGGAAGCACATCGCAGCTCTGCGGAGGCGGCAGGCCCTTCTGCCGGGGGCGGACCCCGGGCCCTCACGGGGGATTGGTCCCAGGACCCCGGCGAGGCCCTTGACTCTCGGACGCCACGGTGGCTGTCAGCGTCCCCGGAACGTTCGGGCAGGACCCACTGACAGTGCGGTGGCCCCCGCTGCTCACGGCCCTGTAAACACAGGACTCCTGTCCCGCGTCACCCTGTTAGAACCAGCGGGGGCTGCGGCCCCCGCTGAGAGGGTTTCCAGGGCCCCTGTCCTCTCTTCTGCATAAAACAAGTAAGTTCATACTCGAAATTCAAGCCTCAGCTGAGTCCAGTGTCTTTGGGTCTGTCTTTGTCCCAAACTTCTGTTAAACTGTCACGTTGGCAGACTTCTTTCTTTCTTCGTGTGTTTTCATCTCCCACACGAGGAGCTGACTTTCTTTGGGGATTGATTTTTCTTAAGAAATAGGATGTGTGGGTGACCGTGTGGGGCGATGGTTTGAGCCCCAGGCCGTGATTCTATGGCCCTCGCAACGCGGCAGCCGCCCCACCCCCGGCCTGAGAGCCTGCAGTGGCTCCGTTGCTCCCCCACAGTTGGTGCCTGCAAGGGGAGTGGGCCACTGCCCGGAAAGCCCTGTGAGCCGGACACCCGGTTCCTGGCGCGCCGACGAGGGGCGTGTCTCCGCCTGTGAACGCGGCCAAACCCCACGGCCATGCTAAGTCAGTGCAGATGTTCTGCCCCCCAAGACCTTACTCGTGCCCGGACTCCAGCCCACAGGTTTGGACACGCGGCCTCGTGGGCTCTGAGTTAACCCCCTTGCCTGTTCTCCACGCACCGGTGGCCGTTGGCAACATCTGCCGACACCACCCTGGGACCCCGGGGCAGGCTGTGCTCGAACTCAGCCTCATGAGGAGAGAGCGCACTAACAAGTCAGAGGCAGGTGAGGGCGGGAGGCCCTCTCAGACCCGAGGCGGCGGCCCAGGCCGGCCTCAGGGTTCAGCGAGAGGCCAGCCCCGGGCGGTGCAGCCGAGGACAGATGCGGGCACAGACTGAGGTGGGACGTCCTGGGAACTGAAAGGCCCGCCTGGCCAGCGGGCAGTGGGGAGGGCTGCCGTGGGCGAAGTGACTGTAAGCTGTGATCCAGATGTGGACACTCGGAAAAGGGCCATCTGGCTTCAACCAGCCCCGTCCCTGGACACCTGGGCCGTATGGTCGACCCCCGCTCATGGACCATGGGACGTGGCACCGTCCCGTCCCCAGAGGTCAGCACAAGCTGGCAGTGCCCCCTCCAGCAGATGGGCGGCCGCCGCAACAAGCCAGGCCTCCCTAACCTGCCTCTTTGCTGCTCCCCCCACCCCTGCTCCCTAGGGACGCTGCCCAGGAAGTGCAAGAAGGAGCTGCTGGCCGTGCGGCTGAGGAACCGGCCCAGCAAGCAGGAGCTGGAGGACCGCAACATCTTCCCCCGGAGGACGGACGAAGAGCGGCAGGAGATCCGGCAGCAGATCGAGATGAAGCTCTCCAAGTGAGTAGCAGCGGGGCAGAGGCGGAGCGGTACCCCTGGCCGCCGGGCCCTGCACCGTCTCCACGTCCCGGGCTCCCCACATGGCGCCCACAGCTGCCCTCGGCCTCCCTGCGCTCTGCATGCGGGGCCTGTGTCATGGGAGTTGTCCCGGGCGCTGCCACATGCTGGGCCGTGTCCTTGGTCCCCGCACGGGATGTCCCCGTGACAGCCCAGACTGCCCCCAGAGGTGGCCACGTGCCCACCGCCACCCCCAGTGGAGAACAAGGACAGAGGTTCTGGGAGCCACGCGAGCGTCTGAGGAGGGAAGGGGAGGCAGGTGGGAGGGACGGTGACGGAGTGGGGCGGGCGTCCCTGGGGGCAGGCAGTGTCCCTGCTCACGGACACCCTGTTGCTCTCCCACAAGGCCGTGCGCCTCCTAAGCGTTCAGAGAAAAGCCAGGGTTCCGTGTACGTGGGGCGGGGGGCGCTGCACCCCGCGTCAAGCCCGTTGCTGCAGGCAGGAGCCCAGACCTGCCGGTGAGCGCCCTCCGCTTGCAGCCCTCGAGGGCGCCCGGGAGGTTCCTGGGGTCCCTGGCCAGCGGTCCACGTGCTGTGGCGCAGGACGGCGTGGAGTGTGTGTCCTAGTGGCCGAGGTCTGCTGGGACCCGGTTGTGCCCCCGGCGCGGGGCGCCTCGTGGTGGGTGGGTGGTGTGGGGGGCTGGAGCGCTGGACGACCTCCAGGGTTGCTTTTCAGGAACCAGAGCAGAGGGGTCCAGAGCTCCCCGGCCCCCGGTTTTCTCGTCTGTAAAGAGACCGTCGCTCGTTGACGGTAGTTCTTTTTCCTCAAAGTCTTTGCTTTTCCATCAGCAGGAAAAGGCGCATCCTCGTGCTGCTGGCCTTCCACGGGCCCTCCCCAGGGTCCCCTCCTGGCGGGCGTGGTGTCCCAGACAGGCCACCGTCCTCACAGGTGTGGCTGGTGGCTCTTCGAGGTTGCAGTGCTGGTTCGCATTTCTGCTGCCCGACCCATCATGGACGCTCACCCGGGTCAGTGAGTCCTGGCCGGTCTCACTGACACGTGTGCAATCGCGTGAGGTTCGGTTTGTCGTTTCTCGTTCCTAGTGAGATGGGACGTTCTTCTCAGGGCTTGTCCGCTCTTTGGTGTCTCCGTCTCAGGCGCTTCACCTGGAGTTTCCTCCGTCACGGGGTGGTCCTGGGGCGCACCTGGGGGTGGCAGCCCCGCCTTCTCCTGGTTGTCTGAGCCCCGCAGCCCTCTCCACGGGAGGCTTGGGTTTCCGTTTTCTTCCCACTTGCCTTGCGCGCAGTTTGTCATTTTTAAGGTCGTAGGTCACCAATCGCATGCCTTCGGCGTCATACTTGTGGTGTGAGGGGCCAGGGCGTGACTGCTTGGGGCTTTGTGGGCACGTGTCTCCTGTGACTACACAGCGCTCGTAGTGCTAACGTGGACACCGATGGTTCAGGGAGAGTGGGAGGCATGTAAGGAGGGACTTTGCCGGTAAAGCTTGGTTCACTGACACGGGCCCTCGAAACAGGGTGTGCGGGACCTCTGTTGCGTGCATGGCTCACGCTGTCCTCGCCGTATTTGAGAAATCCTTCCTTACCCAGGGGGAAAGCATGTTTACTCATGGAATTTTTGCAGTTGCCTTCCAGTGATGCCAATGGTTAATGGTTTTCTGTTTGATAAAAAAGCCAAGCTCTCCTTTAGAACATTAAGTGAATTCATTTAAAGAACAAATAGTAAGTCCACCGCGATAACATTTGTGGTTAAAAATAGGAGGAAGTGCTGGCGGGGCTCGGCGCAGAGGAGCCGGGGACCCCGGCCAGCCTGAGGGCGTGCGGGGCCTCCGTTTCCTCCATCGCCCACAGAAACCAGGTCTGATTTCATACCTTGGACTAGAATGCAGCAGTGGCTCCTAGGACATTTGTCACCGTGTTTACAAACGGAAACAGCCCCGAACCAGACACACAGCATCATTGAGCGATCTCTCCCGGAGGTCGATGCGGCCTTCCTGCCCCTGGTTTGTTTTCTCTACAGAAGTGGTTTAATTGGATCCCTTTGTCTTTGTTGTGTCTCCTTTTGGAGGTTCTTCTGCCATCACTCGCTGAATAATTCAGCCTCTGGTTGCCTTGGTAACATACTATTTCCCCCTTGTCCTGAAGGGTGGTTGGTGGTGGTGTTTTATTTTCAGCCCCTTAACATGTGACTGCTTGGGTGCTGCTCAGGCCCTTCTGCTTGAAGTGGTCCACGTGTCCCATCCCCCGATCCCATGACACCCTCAGTGCTGGCCCCGGGTCCCTGTAAAGTACAGGCCACCTGCAGGGGTGACATTCCCACCCCCTTCTGTTGGGGGTGGTCCAGCTCCCCTTTCGCTCCCATGTGAGTAACCTGGCAGAGCTGGGGACCTGTGCTTCTTTCCGAACCCGGCACAGCGGCGCTCACGCTGTTCTCTCCAGTTCACAGAGGAGGGACGGAGCCTCTTTTTTTGCCTTAAAAATTTTTAAAGTGACAGTTTCTGTCACTCTTCTGAGAGAGGCCGGAGCACAGCGCAGTGGTCAGACACGTACCTGCCTTACAGAGGGACCCCTGACACTCCTGGCGCCCACCCGCCACCCGGCGCAGCTGTCGCGGTGTTACCGGCTCTGTCCCACGTGCTGCGCCGCACGCCGGGCCCGCTGCTCCCTCCCTTCACCTTTGTGCCCTTCCCCCCACCTCCCTCCTCCCACCGGTGAGTCTGTTTCTGTTTTGTTTGGTCTTTAGGTTCCACATGCAGGACGACCTGTGGCATTTGTCTTTCTCTGACGTACCTCACCTCACACAGGCCCTCCAGGTCCCTCGGTGCTGGAGGAGGTGGCAAGGTTTCTTCTTCTGTGGCCGAGCAGTTTTCCGCGGTGCCTGCGCCCCCGTTCTCCACCCCTGTGTCTGCCAGGGCCCCCGGGCCGCCCGCGTGCTGGCGATGGATGAGCGTAGGGGCAGCGTGCACGAGCCTCTTCCAGTTCGCCTCCTGGGTGTCTTCAAACGCACACCCGACAGTGGGGGGTTGTTGGGGAGTTCTGTTTTTAACCTCGCGGGGAACCTCCAAAGGGCGAGGAAGCGGGGAGTTAGGGAAAGGAACCCCCGCAGGGTCCCCCAGCTGGGCGGAGGCGGGCCCAGCCCCGGGGCACCACCCGGCCTCAGGGCAGTTCTGGGCGGGACTGCCTCCTCTCCCCTGGTCGCAGCTCTGCCTGTTCCTGCATTGCCTGGACTTCTCCAGTCACACTGAGACCTGCAGCCACAGGCAGGGTGTCTGGGGCAGAGGGATCCGTGCCTGTGTGAGGCGGGTGGCCAGAGACACGATGGCGTGGCGAGTGCGTGGAGCCCCGGGGGCCAGCGCACACGCCCAGGCGGCCACTCCAGGCTGAGCCCGGGCTCCGGGGAACGTGGGTGGTGGCTCCCCATCCCGGCCACAGCATGAGTTTCTGCAGACACCGCTGTCTTCACATCTCCCTCCAGCATGGCAGCTGTGACCCCACCTTCTTGCCGGGGCCGTTGGAAGGCGCCAGGTTTACCCCCGGGGAAACACACCCAAAGCGCGATCCCGGCAGGAGGCGCTCGGGGATGGGCTGCGGCCGTGCAGGTCCGGCCTGGCCACCCCTGGGCTGGGTGTCACCGCGCGGGATGGGCGCCCTGCCGCGGCCTCAGCAAGGACGGAGGGGCTGCTGTGTGAACGGCGCCGGGGGGCCCTGGGGACAGGCAGCAGTGCTCTCCTGGTGTCGGTGGTGACGGGGTTGTCGCTGAGGGTGGGATTGTTGTCCGCGGCTGGTGTGTAATTTGCCTGGAGACAGAGGACCCGGACAGGGTCGGGGGCAGGGCCTGAGTGGTGCTCAGACCTTCTATTAACTCTCCCTGGGGGCGTCCCCTCCCTGAGACCCTCTGGCATTTCGAGGAGCTGATTGATGCCCGAGAGCGTCCTTCAGGAGCAGGCACCTCACATCTCAGCGCAGGCGTGGGGCCTGCAGCCCGCCCCTGCCCCTGTACGTTCCGTTCTGCATTTGGAACGGGCTGCCAGCTCTCTGGCCCCACGCAAACACCAGTTCCGGGGGTGGGGGGTGGGGACCTGCTGGGGGCTGCAGCCCCCCGAGCCGAGGAAGCTCTGGGAGGAGCGCTAACGCTTTGCAGGGCAAGGAGGAGGAGAGCGCGGCCTCGTGGCCCTGGGGGTGGGGGGTCAGGGGACCTGCCCAGAGCATTGGACTCAGTCCTTCCTTTCAGCCAGAGCTTTGGGGGAAAAGGGGTACAGAGCCAGGGCCACAACCCTGTGACCCAGAGTCCTGCAAACACAGAGACCTCTTTTCTGGGCTTACTGAAAAAGTGGGGGGAGGGGAACAAGACTTTTTAAATGGCCAGAAAGAGGTCCACGCGTTGGGGAGGTGTGGGGGCCCCCTGCTGGAGGCGTGGGATCGCCGCTAGCCGCTGCCCGCTGCCCTCCGCCCTCCTGCCCAGCCGGTGCTGCGCGGGACCCCAGCTCGCCTGGAGCGACTCAAATCCAGTCCCCCAGGCGCTGTCCAGGCTTGCGACAGGGAAGCGTGGCTGTCCATAGTTGGCAGTTGCTGACGTTTACGTGGTGTCTCCTGTGTGCTGCTCCCTGCCGAGTGCTGCTCCTGGTCCTTTTCAGACGAGGGGAACTGGCTCTGAGCGGGACAGTCGCTCTCCCACGCTCACACGCAGGCGATGTGGGGCGGGTTGCTGGTCCCACTGACAACCGATCCACGCCCGTTCCCACATCCACCTCTGCACCCACATCATCAGGGCGCTTTGTGTACACACAGATTCCAGAGCCCACTCCCAGTCTCCTCCGTTGGGATCTGTACTTCAGCAGAGCTGCTCTCTCCCGAGTGTGGCCACCCACCGTGTGCTACGCAGGTTCCCTCCCTCAGGACCTTGGAAAACCATTCTCTGAGGCCTGAGGCTCCAAATAATCCGTGCTTCTGCATAACAGCAGCCTGTCAGCATCTCGACAGCACACGCTT